TCTAGGTGAGGGTTTAAGACCATCGTTTCCTTGGAGAATTTTATTAAAGAAAAACTTAGCGATCACCCACCTGCGAAAGCTTGGCGAATATTTGAGATGGAATTTCTATCGAATTGTCCTGATCCACGAGGATCAAATGCTCTAAAAAAAGTTGGAATGGGCAATTATCTTACGGAAGAAAACGGAATGAGAACGAATTCCTGGTTCAGAATCAGTTAACTGAATTCTGAGTGGGCGAGGAGTCTGGAACCGAAAAACCTACCGTAGAAAAACGGTCCTATAATTGGAGTTTCTTAGGCAATTGAAGACTGAGGCAGTAGCTGGCACGGAAAAGTCGACAGCGTACGCGAAGCCATTAGCAGCACTCTATAAAAAATAAAAGTTATTTTCTCTATCTGTGTCTATGTATCTATGAGTACGGTTTATTTTTAATTTATTACAGGCTTTAAGGCACATGTGGCTCTGCGGAGTAAGGTACCGATATCAAGAGTTGGTTCTGAAAAGATTAGAGGACCAGCTAACAAGGAATCCCACATGCAGACTTGGCGGAACAATGAATCTTCTCTGTGAGGATGCTTCGAAAAAAAGGACCCCTAGAATGTGCTGACAGCGCATTCATAAGACAAAGAGCTCTCCACCAGTTCGTCATAACATTTCGCAGATAATCCAACTCCTAAACCTCCAGTGGGGTGACATAAGAAGGCATAGGAGCGCAAGGTACTTTATCAAACAAAGAACAACACAAAAAGCTCGTCCTGTCTTTGTACTTCGGGGAGAGGCAACCGATTTCATCACGTTGAAGCTGTCTATTTCTTTCTGAGAAAGAAAAATCGGGAAGAAAATTTATGGGCATAAACTACAGACAAACCACCATATGCGCTTCAGTAAAATGATCGCAATTGTTATAGATGACTTCGTTACTTGACAGTTCTCCGTGGAACCATCAGAAAATATTCAGAAAGTCATCGAAGTAGACCCGAGAAGTACGGTATCCCTAGTTCAATGAGGCTACGAACAACGGGAGGAGATACAGTGATCCCGTCTAAGGAAGCCGTATCTTTATTGGAACCACTAAACCCACCAGGAGATATTTCAGTTATGGCGGGCCTTCCCGGCGGTATATTTGCTTATTCTAGCTATTTTACCTCCTTTTCCTTTTATCTCTTTCGTCATCAGTGGGAGCCTTCTTCCCTTTCTTGACTGAAAAGCGCCGGGGAAAAAAGCAAAAGGGACAGGCTTCTGCCAGAACCATTCTCACCGCAACTGTCACAGCGCTCAGAACGGGGGAAGGACTGTCTCTCAAGGGAGACCCAAGATGAAACGTTTTTCAATTCTATCTAATTTTTTAGATCTCCTTTACTTACTCATTTCGCTTACCTCAACTGGAGCCGGCTCTGGGATAGTGGCGGCGCTGATGACAGCGACGGTCAAGAATAGAAATAGCATTGTTTTATAGCTAAATTGAATATTTTTAGAAAAAAAACAAAGAAACTGGTGAAGTCAAAGAAATCTCAGTTGAATGCTGAAGATAGAAATTGATTTAGTCTTACCTGATAAGAAGTTTTCACTGAGGGAAGTTCATAATCGCTCCTTTATATGTGGTACCGTTATCAAAAATGCGTGGGCAATCTTAATCTGAAATTTATTCTAAAAAAATTTGTCGTTGAAACATTTCGGAGTGTTTATCAACATTAAGTTAGAAAAAGTAAAACGCCCACCCTCTCTCATGATCGGTTTTTACAGTTTCCTATCCAATGAGCACCGGAAGGAGTTGTAATCTCCTTGGCGGCCTGTGAACTTTTCAAAAGAATCTCCATGGGATTCGTCATAGCGGATGAGGTTGGAGCACTTAAGAATGAGTAAGATTTTCAAAAAGCCACTAACTGAGGTAAAGCTTTTGTGGAGGAATAGACGACAAGGGGAGTGAGTACTTGGTCATGAAAGGAGCGTCAATCCTCAGTCAGGAGCTGTGAGATCATCCTGAGAAACTAATAAATGAATGTGGTAGATAAAATGTAGATCCAGTGTTACTTCACCTATCTGTCTCTGCTACCTTACTGTCCCTTCCATAAGGTAGACACTAATGTCCTGATGCTGGGTGGGTAGGAGGAAGAGAAGCGACGATGATTGGGCAAAATCGTACAGAGGTGCTGAAGAAAGGGCAAAAAATTCCTGATTTGAGGAATTGAAGAACGCTGCTACAAAGTGGTAAAACTCGAGGTTGTACGAGATTGTGACGAGAAAAGTAGCGAGAAGGGGCATTTGGACGAGATGTCGGTGCGTGCGGTTGGCTATGGTATTCATTAAAGGCACCGTTCACAAAAAAAGTTAGGGTACCCTTTTTGGACGGGAATTGATAGAACTACTCTAGAATAAAGCGATAACAGCGAAAAAAGCGCAAAAAACGATGAACAAAAAGAATTACAAAGGGTCAAAAA